CCCCGCGACGGCGACGCCGAGCTTCGGCGGTATTTTTCGTTCAATTAGTCGGTTCTTTCACTCCAATTTGACCATGGGTGGGTTTAAATTTAAATTTCGTGCAAGAGAGGAAATGTTTACCTCATTTGGAGGTTGGAAATTGCTCCGGTGCAGTGGCGGGTGGCGGCGGTCGGCTCCCCGGCAGCTAGGTTATCTTCTCCGGTGAGGGGCTCTGGCGGCTAGGGTTAGGGTTTGGATAGGGATGGGGTTATTTATACCCATCCGCTTTTGATCTGAGCCGTCCATCGCTTTTAATCTGGACTGTCCGATCGCAATTAAATAAGAAGTGAATCTGGGCCGTTCATCGTGATTCAATCTGCGCCGTCTGTGTGCGATGCAATCTGGGCCATCTGTGCGTGTTTTGAATCTAGGCCGTCTGTGCGCGCGAGAACGGATCTCAGTCGTTCGATCGCGTGCCCGCGGATCGCCCACGTGGTTCCCCCCCGCGTGGCCTCCCGCGTTAGTGACTCTGCCACCTGGCGTGTCTTGTTTGGTTAGGGCTGCTGATCGGGCATCTGACGTGGCACAATTTTTTTAAATTGCATTTTGACTCCTGGTTTTCGATTTTTCTTTCAAAAATACCCAAAAACCCAAATTTTCACCCTTTTTTCCAAAATTATTTTCAATTAAATCCTTAACTAATTTTTCACCTTATTATTATTATTATTTTCATTAAATAAATTAAAATAAAATAATTTAATTTAAATTAAATTAATAAATAATTATATTTATTAAAAAATAAAATAAAATAAAATAAAATGTTGAGTGTTACATCTTCTCTGAGCAAAATTTGTTTGTTCGTTCTTCAACTTGCAATTTATTTTTGTATATATACCCAAATCTTTTATAATAAAAATATTGTGATTTACCTTAACACCAAAATCTTTTTCATCATGATTTTTTTTTGTTTTATACTCCGTATGGTGGAAATTTTTCTTTTTTGATGTTAATGATGTAACGGCCCCGGAAATATTAAAATGAAATGAGTATTTGAATATATCAAATGCGGAAGCGAGATCAAAATTTCAGCTAACATCCCTTACACGAAAAACCAGAAACGTACTTAAAATATAAAAGATTAAACTAACTAAGAGAGAAACTCGAAAATAAAACTATGAGTATGGCTACAGAGTCTCTAGGTATCCCCTTCGTCGTCCTCCTGCGGAACGGGCTCGGGAACCATGTCTTCCTGATCTGAAATGGTTAAATAAGGAGTGAGCTACACTAGCCCAGTAAGAACATCACGATATCTCACCGTCACGGAGGTAAAGGTGGGTAGAAAAACACAAAAGACCAATGGAGCATAATTTACAATAAACTCGTTTATTAACATGAAAACCTTTACCATCTACTTACCTCGGTGGAATTTATGAAAACAATATAAGAAAAATAATAACATTATCACAATCATGGAATAATATAAGCTGTAAAACATAGCACTTATCACGCCTTTTGTAATTCAATCATTATACAACATATCCTTTTCTCATTTACCAGCCTACTAGTATCCATGGGGGTCCATAGGGGTCCCGCTACCCGTTAACCTTTAACATTCATAATCAGTTTCCAGGGTCGTCCCCATACCCCGTCCGGTATGGGCGCCCAAAACCATAAACCTCAATACCCCGTCCGGTATGAGGGTGAAACGGGCCGTCCCCATACCCCGTCCGATATGGGCGCCAAAACCATAAGATCTCCATACCCCGTCCGACATGTGAGACCTCAATCCCGGTAGGGTTCCCTACGGACCCGGTCCGTCCACCATCTCTCAGGATACCTAGTCAGGCTGACCCCCCATAATACAATTATCAGTCTACACAATC